CGCACACACAGTCGTCGCCTATCCGCGGATCGAGCGGCTCGCAGTCGGCCAGTTGAGGCGCGAGGAAGCCAGCAGCGGAAAACAAAGAAGGTGCCAAGCCCGATCGAGGACCGATCTCGTCGCAGAAGTCGTCCCAAGGACCCCGTGCTCTCTCGTCCCCGTGTTTCCTTGCCTATCGCGTGTGCAGCCCGTGACCCGCACGCGATCCGCGATCCGATCCACGTCGTGTCCGGGATTCAATCAGGAGTTCACATCCGCGTGTCGTCCCAGCAAGGATACACACATCAAGCGTCATCCAGATTCCAACCCGAGCCGATCTAACCCGCGCGATTCCTCCGCTCAATCGCCGGCATAACAACACCCTTCTCCTCCTGCTTCGTCGTCATCGTTATCGTGCAACTTCGTCCGACACCGTCCTGTGATCGTCGCGAGCCCCGTCGTGATCCCGTCGTGTCGTGTCCGCGTTCAAAGGAAAAAAGAAAAAAAAAGAAAAGAAACTCTTCCCACCGGGTCCACGTAGACCTCGAGTCTACGACGAGGTCAGTACTCGGGGAATCGGGTACGCGATCCGCGCGCACGCGCACCAAATCGTCATTCTCTCGTCGAGCCTGATACACGTGACCGAGCCGCGTACTCGGTGGAAGCCGGCATCATAGCGTCGAGAAACGAGCAGCCAGCCACCATGTCGAAGCTCTACGTGGGCAATCTGCCCTCAGATTGCAACGAGAGTGCTCTCAGGCAGCTCTTCCAGGAGCACAGCCTGGCGTGCACCACGATCCTGGTGAAGCGCGGCGGATACGCCTTCGTCGACTGCGCCGATCAGTCCACGGCCGATCGGGCGATCGACAAGCTGAACGGTGAGTTGTCCACATAAAATGAATTATGCTAACGTTGGCTTTAATTGCTTTCGATCATTGCTTTTACACATTGCTTCGCATCGCGACGATGACGCCGACGACGACGATGACGACCACGAGAGGAGAGACGAAGAAACCGAAGAGGAGCATCCATCTGTGGTTTACGCCGCTTTGCCGATTATTTGTATACTAATAAAACTCTTGCCGCTTTGCCATCTATGCTACTGCTTTTTCCCACCAAGCTTATGCAATTTATGACGTAAACCTTACCTTCTCTTGAATATTCGTCGATAGGTTAATCAACTAATGTCTACAACGAAGGCTTTATTAAAATTCTTTCTAGGAATTGCTTGAATGATTGAAGTCTTTGCTTTATCGATCCTGATCCTGAATATCCTTATCTTCCTGTTTACTTAATATTTTCATCGCTGAAAAAAGACCTTTATCACCGATATGTAATACGCTATGCTTTATTTACGCTACGCTTTTTGTAAACGCTAGATTGTAAAAACGCATAAATTTATTTGCGGAGCATGCTTTCAACAGATTTTCTAAATGCTAGAGCGAGTATTTCTTTAAGCGCTTTGATACTTAATATATATCTTGGCGAGTTCATTGAAAAATTTCTCATGAAAATATCTGACAGGTTACTGTCACATCGATAGTTGACCGTGAATTGTTTTCTTTTTTTTTCTGACGGATGATATGCTTTAACGTGAAATTGCAGAGCATCGAGATTCTGTGTAACAAAATAGTGACTGTCGATGTGACAATCAAAATTGTCGATATTATCATTACACCGTAATTATCGATGATAAAGTATTGTAAATAAATCATAAAATTTTAATTATTTATTTAAATATATTAAACATAAATTGGCAAATAATTAGAACGATCGATAATTCGTGACTATTTGTAGAAATAATTTTTTTTAATTTTACATGTGAAGAATCAAAATTTACGTGAAATTTAGTTTTTGTGCTACAATTTTTATCGCTGATACCCAGAAATTTGTAAAAGTACAGGTTTTGTAATTGGTGAACGAACAATACTTGACGATCTGAATGATTTATTCGAAGTGTTGGTAATAATCAGATAAATAGTGATGTGTAAATAAATAAAAAAAGTTTGATTGGTGGCTTTTGACATGCTCGAATCTCTTCAGCTTCATACGCATCGGCGAGGCGAGATACGAGTGAATTTTCGGTCGCCCGGAATTAAGATATCGCCGTGAACGCGCGCGAAATTGACGTTATATCGCGCGGCCACTCGTTTCCTCCATGGGCCGAAGATTGCTTCATTCACGAGTGACGAACGCGAGATTAAGCTTGAAAATCGCTGTGCCTCCGACTTCGGCTTCCGCTAAAAAAGTGATTTATTTTTTTACAAGCATGAAGCTTGAACATCGTTGCACGCAAAACTGAAATTTTTTTCTAATCTCACCAAATCGCGCCGCGTGACTTCAGCTAGCGCCGAAAAGTCCGATATGTGTCGGATATAAAAAAACGTGACGTACTTTGCCTAATTAAAATTCATTTCGAAATCAAGCTGCTGTGACTTCTAGCAAAAATCGCTCGTGGAAAACGCTTATTACAAAAATATTCTATAATAAAGTAATGTAGTAGAGAATCAACGAAATAATTAACAAATTAAATTACATAAACTTTTAGAAGATATGCGATCATTGCTTCGATATTCATATAATTGGCTTTATCAAATTTAATTTGGCTTCTGAATCGAGCCGGAGAGAATCGTCGAGTGGAAGTGTCGTATCAGTTATCTTAATTTCTCCCAAAATAGAACGGGACAGTTTCGTCTACTTCACTTTCGTGGAAAACTTATCCACGTGGTAGGTACCGCATCGCAAAATGGCGCCAGTTACGACGCGCCTGTTGTGACAAGGTCGCGTTTGTGTGTTCGCCTCCGCGATAAATCGCTGATAATCGTGCACGTCGACCAACCGTTGTCGATCGCTCCGATTACGGGACTGGCTCTTCCCGCCAAAACGAAGACTGCATATGTCCGAAAGATTTATTATCCGCAAGACGGTTCTTTTCAAAAAACAAAATGCTCGAATGAGCAATCATAGAGAAGTATTTTTTGTCTACATTGTGTCTGGATCTTTCAATGGCCTTTAGAGAACCATAGCTTGGGTCTTATACCTGAAGAAAATTCTGTAAAATTCCTGTAGATTCAGGATACATCTTTGAATTACATTTTTACACTAATAAAAATTTATTCGACACGCTCCTTTTTATTATTTTTTTATAGAGAAATTTGCATGTCAGAAACGTGAAACTTAGAATAAAAATGTTCTGTCATTAAAACACGCTCTCAGAATAAGACTCTAATGCCTTGGCTTCTGTCCATCGATGTTACTTTTCGAGACATACGACGCGCAAAAATTCGTCGGCCAAGTGGAAGTTAACTATGCGTGACGAAACGTCAGGCGGCTGAACGCGTCCGTTAATCGCTAGACTGCGATGACTGTACTAGCTAAAGCAACTATTTTGTAGTCGCCTTCGATCTAAACTTCAGTAACTTTAGTCATAACTTCATATTACGTAAGTCGTTAGTAAAGAAAAATTTGTTTAAATTAACTGAAATACTTTTTTATCGAAAAAAATAATTTTCTATACAGAAATATGTTTCTATTATCGAATGATAGTAGTCGAATTACATTATCAATGATAGTAGCGGTATTCTGTATGATTAGACAGTAGCAGATTTCATATTTTCACGATCTCCTCTCGGGCGAGCACATCTCGGTATGATCCTGACCTAACGTTCCCGACTTATCCCGTCGATCGTGAGAATTTGGACCGGCACTTGACTTCGAGGCTCCGAGTCACGCCCGCACGAATAGTAGTCGGTCGGCTGCGGGTTTGCCCGCAGCCGAAGAGAAGAAATGTGGTCAAGGTCGCGAATGGCCGCGCACGCGCGCGCGAGCACGCGTGACGTATGGAGCTGCCACCGCCCCCGCCGCCTCCGCTGTCTTCGCCGCCATCGCGACCGCCGCAGTCGTCTCCTCCGAGGTTGAAATTTACATCGCGAATAGCCGCCAACCTCATCTCCTCGGCTCTCCTCCGCCTCACCCGCCGAAAATCGGTTAGTCACACTCGTCACGTTCCGCGGCCATGCTTGGTATCCAGATCATAAATTCCATTGACGACTCTGTAGCTCTCTCGCGCGCTCTCGCGCCCTTCGGCTACCTCATTACGGCGTGTTAATGCACGCACGTGTACGCATCGCGTTGAAGAGCCGTTTGCGGCTGCCATGTTTCACCCTTGAACTTCTCCGACAAGGAAACGATTGAATCTCTCTCTAATCCCATCAGCGAGAGTTTCGTATATGTTGGAAAACAACGATTGAATCTCTCTCTAATCCCGTCCGAGAGAGTTTCGAATATGTTGGAAAACAACTTAAAATAAAAGACACGTATCTTTCTTTTTTTTTTTCGGTAACGGCCTTGCGAAGCTAACGCGACATATTCGCTCCTGACCAAATATCATCGAAGAAATAATATGTCGGAAAAATGATTATCTTCAAATGAAATTTTTATGGTATAGATATTTCTTGAAAAAAAAATCTTTGAGAAATATTAAGAAATTTCGGACAGTCGTTCGCGTAGATGTTTCCGATATTATGAAATTTTTGTCGACAACATTCTTTTTCATTTATTTTGACGACATCGAGCAGAAAAAATTAAGTACATCCCATTATTTTCCAAAAAAAAAAAATACTTAGAGTTTAAATTTGTTAAGATAGCTCTTCTCCTGAAATATTTTTATCGCGATTGCAATTGATAAGATAAATTCAATATTAGAAGAATTTTACGTTGGCTCTTTCTTGCTAGCGATTTTTTTGGCGCATATAATCGTCCTCTTAGTCATATATATAGAGCGCGCAGGGCTACTTAGAAGTGAACTACAGGAGTCTAGAAGGAGAGCCGGGACGAGCCTCTTGGAACGATTCATGGCGAACGCTTTCTCTCTCTCTCTCTCTCTCTCT